AATCCCCAATCAGATCCACACAGTTTCTTCACCCACCAGACAAGAAATTTGAGTTCTAATAGTAAACCTTAAAGCGACAACAACGAAATTTAAAAACCTGAACCGAAGATGCACTGCCTTGGTACAAATGGTTACGTTTTTCTGTATGCAAAGTAAAGTGAAATATAGTATATAATTATTAAATTAGTTTTTGATTGATAATACCAATTTATTAATTATTTTTTTACCATCGAAAAAAGAAAAAAAAAAAAAACTGAACTGGAGATGAAAGAAGCAGAAGAAGAGGAACTCTTATTTCTGGTTTTCTTACAATTTAAGTCCATGTCTGTATAACTGTCCTAAGAAGATAGGCAAAAACCGCGGCACCGATACCGGCGTAACTTCCTCGTTTTAGCACATGACAGTTCTGGTTTGGGTTTTTCCTTTTTCCATTTCCTCAACTTCGTTTACTAACAAACTATTTGTCCAAGTAAAACGAGTTCGATTTTATTCATTAACATCTCAAATTTAAATTTTGTGAATGAATTTCAGTTCCTTAATTAAGTTCTGGAATTTAAATTTTGGGAATGGAGAAAGAAGGAAGGGGAGAACTCTCTTACGGGCTTTGATATGATTCGACTTTGCATTAATGGACACTCAATATGGTTGGTTGTGGGATAGCGGGAGGATAATATAAAAACATAATCACGAGAAGACGGGAGCAACAGCAGGACGGAATCGTTTTTTTTTTTTTTCCCTTAAATTTCAGCCTGGATTCGACTTCCCTTTTTCTGTTTTCCAACGTTCTGATTTTCGATTAGGGTTTAATTTGAGCTCTGTTTTTGGGGAATGCAGTTTTTGAGAGGAGATTTTGAGTGATTAGGGGTTTTTTTGGGAGCAGCTATGTTTTGTGTAATGCGTTTTTAGAAAGGAAGGGGAGATTTGAACTGTCAATACCAGCGTTGGGGTTTTGGGATTTTTGAGAATTTGGGGGGATTTATTTTTGTTTTTTGAAAGATGATGTTATCGGCATCACCTACGTCCTTAGCTAAGAGCTCGCTGGAGGAGATGCTGGAGTCGCTGAGACGGCGGGATGAGAGTGAAAAGCCCAAGGACCTGCCACCGGCACCGCCAGGTCGGATAACTTCCAAGGCTCGGCTACCCTCGTGTCGCAGGTCACTTCCAACTGACTTCAAGGTTGACGGAATGGTATTAAATTTGGAGAAGTTTCTGCTGTGCCCAGTGAAGTAAAGGCTCGGGAGGGAGGCAAGAGGAAGGAGGAGCAGTTCCGAGTGAGGAGAAATAGCTTTGGAAGCAAGAAGATGAGGAAAGAGCTAAATCTAGATTCACCATATGGTGGTGAGGCAGCGGAGGGAAAGAATGGTGTGGGAATGGAGGTGGCAGATGATCGTGGTACAGAGGAGAATTTATTCAAAATTGCAGTAAAGAAGGGCGGGGAGCTAGAATGGGATGTTAATGATAACACTGGGTATTGCATCAAGAAGGTAAGTGAAATCTAGAAAAAGAATGCTCCAATTTGTTGGTTTTTACTGTGTTTCCTTCTTATTCTTCTTTGTTTTTCACTTGATACTGAATGGTTATATGAATCTCTAGATCAGCATAAAATGTACTTTTCAGTTTTGTAAATACTCCTGTGAATATCTTTTCAGTTTTATTTTAATCTTAATCATATCAGTGTATATTTGGGTATTTTATTTTTAGGATAGCCATTGATGTTTGGAAGTTTTGGTTCCAGAAACTTAAGAGTTTCGTGTCGGCTCCCAAATGGTCAGTGGGATTCTGGAACGATAAAATCTACTTCTGGGGAGGAATCATATGTCTCCCTCGCAAATGGAAATGTAAGTGTCACTTGATGATCTCTGAAAATTGGATAAATTAACATTGAGCCCTCCAGATTGTGGTTGGTACATACTCTTATGTTGTTTAACTACTGCAGGTTATTAGAGTTTCTACAGGAGATCTCTTTCCTGCAAATCCAGAAATTCTTGAGGGAGCGGATGATTTAATTCAAATTAGTTATTTGAATGAATCAACAGTCCTTCACAATCTTAAGTACAGATATACCCAGGATATGATTTATGTAAGCATGATATTCACTTGTGTATACCCTTAGGCTTCTTGCTAGGACCATGGACTTCACTCCATCATGTACCAGTTCATGTTTTTCTTTCTATAGAGGAAAGCATGTCCAGTTTTGATTGCCCTCAATCCCTTCAAACATGTCCAGCTTTATGGGAATGATTTTGTCACAGCTTATAGGCAGAAAGCTGATGATAGCCCTCATGTTTATGCTTTAGCAGATACTGCTTACAGTGAAATGATGAAAGGTAAATATATATATATATATTCTCTCATCTTGGATTCAGCATAAATATGTTTAACTTGCTGTTTAGCCTTGCGTTAATTGTTTCTGATATCTTATCTATTGGCTCTATTTACTATTTTGCAGACAGAGTAAATTGATCAATAATCATAAGGTTAGTCTGATTCTTTTAGTTAAGTATGCTATGGAATATGGGCTTCTATTTGTCGGCTGTGTTCCTTTCATGATTTCCTCATTAAATTGGTTCTTTGAGTGTATTTCCTATATCTATGATCAGTAGTGTGCTTGCACAGTCATAAGGATTAATTTTCAACTCTTATCTTACAGTGGGGAAAGTGGAGCTGGGAAAACTGAGACAGCAAAATTAACAATGCAGTACTTGGCTGCAGTTAGTGGTGGTAGTCGTGGGATAGAGAGTGAAATTCTTCAGACTAATTATATACTTGAAGTATTTGGGAATGCTAAAACATCTAGGAATGACAACTCTAGCCGATTTGTGAGTATATATATTTTTTCTCTCTATTTTTTCCCTTGTTCTGTGCTGAAGGTAGTCGTAGATGTGTATACATACATACAGACACATGCATCTTTGTTGTGGAAGGTATCCCAATCGATATTGATTTGTAATTATCCAATTTCTGCTCTGTTGTACCCTAAATTTCACCCCCAAAAAACCCAAAAAAGAAAAGGAATTAATGAACCTTCAAATAAGAAATGAACCAAGGGAAAATAAATGAAAATCAATTTTAGTAAATTGGGGAAGATATCTGGTGCTAAAATCCAAACTTGTAAGCAATTTTAAATTGGAATAGATTGTTTTACATTTTGTTATGTTATGATTAATCACAGTGCTGACTTGGACACTTGGTTTATACTTTGTACATTAAATGTTAGTTCACCATTGAAGCCTCTGGATAGTCCTGCTAGAAAAGGTGACTTCTTGTGCAACGTTTGAACTTAAGATGAATTTTCAGTTGTAATGTCATATAATTCTCCTGAAATGTTTTCTTTGATATTTTCTTTAAACAGTCAAGAGTGATTCAGTTGTATACCAGTGAAAGGTCATACCATGTCTTTTATCAACTCTGTGCCAGTGCTCCAGCATCTCGTAAAGTATTTATTTCATCTTTCGTGAATATTCTCGACCATTCAAGTTTTTAGGACAAATGAGCTTGAAGCTATATAAAATTGGCTAATCTCCATGCTCTTTGGATTGCTATTTGTGTTCATTTCTTGGAATTTTATATTTCTTTCAAGAAGCATTCATATCATTCTTTATAGAACTACCTTTTAATTGTACTTTGGTGGCAATTTAATTGTACTTTTCACCTGGCTCAGGGTGAACTACCTTTGCACTTTCTACTTCCAGTTGGGGGTTGGACTCTTTGTTTTTGACAAGACACAAGTTATTTTAATAACATATAAAATTAATGAATTGTTAATTAGCCGTAAACATCTTGTGACACAATATCTCATGATGGACCTTTGAAAGTTTACAACTGCTATTTTTCATATAACATGGTAGAAGTCTATTGCTTACCATGTCTTTTTAACTAGACATGACATGGTTCTTGAGTCTAGTATGCTATGCATTCATTTTCATACATCAAAGGAGAATGAGTTTCATATTCTTTGCATCATTTCTTTACAGAGAAATTGAATCTTATAACGGCAAAGGAATACATATATCTGAACCAGAGTGACTACCTGGTGATTAATGAAGTGGATGATGCTAAGAAATTTAATAAGCTTATGGTAATTCGGTTGTTATGTGATATGTATATCATTAATGGAGTAGCCCCTTTTTAAGTTTATTTCTTTGTCTCCTAGGCCATATAGGGAAATGGTTAACGGATTGCTGGTTTGATGATATAATATTAGACTTACCGATGGTGATTCGAAATGAATATTCTGATCTTTCGGCCCCAAGAAAAAAAGAGAGAGAGAGAGAGAGAGAATATTCTGATCTCGTTTGCATATCTGTCTTCTGAATTTTTGCAATGAAAGTACTGTTTGTTAATTACAAAACTCTCTCTCTCAATTCGTTTCTTTCCTTTTTTCTTTTCTTCTTTTTATTCGATGAATTCTCAATTTGTTTCTC